CCGGTGTGTATCGGGGTCGAAGACAGTGACGTCCCGCGGGTCGCTAACCTGACCCATCGGCGTCCTCGCACCTGGGCCTGGCCTTAGAGATGCACAGGGCGACGACGATTGTTTGTCGCTGCTGAGAGTGATTGTATGTGTTGCGTGTGTCCTCACCGGGGCCGCCGGGGCGCCGGGAGGAGTGACCGGGCCGCATGCCGCGCGTGCGACAGCAAACAAAACATGAGGCAGGTCCTGCTGCTGTTGCAAAATAACCCCCTCCGAAAAAATGCATTTTACTTTCCCAGAGCTGCATTCCCATCAGTGAGGCAGCACGCGCATCCTATCCTATCCTATTGCAGGTGGGGAGCGGTGCGGAGCGGAGCGGTGTGTGGTCACAATGGATGCTGTTTCTTTTCTGTCCCCGCGTCCAGGCGGCGCGGCGGCTGGCCGGCAGCAGCAGCAGTGTGTCGCGGTGTCGCCTTATGCCCCTCGGGGATTACAACACGGAAAGGGTTCCCATCATGATTTGGCCGAGGCTAGTGTTGCTCAGTGCACGGCGCTCCGGGTGTGCGTGAGCGCGCCTCTGTGTGTGTGTGTGTGTGTGTGTGTGTGTGTGCGTGTGTGCGTGTCGCGGCCTGTCGTGTGCGTCAGTCTGTGTGAGTGCGCATGTCATTGTCCTCCTGCGGCAGTCTCATTTGGCAGCCGCAGTCGCAGTCCTGGAGGAGAGGTGTGTGTGGGGGGGGGGGGGTCGTGTCATTCCCCCGCGCGCCCCTCCTCCGCGCCGCGCCGCGGGGCCGGGCCCCAATTCGGCGAGGAATATTTCGGAATATCTCATGCATTCGACGCTCCACTTACGGCGAGGCGGAATGCGTAAGCAGGAGAATTTTAGGCGGCTGGTGCAAAGTGTCCAACGATGTGCGCACGTACTGGGCGAGGCGGCAGGCCGACGGCGTCGAGCAGCCGCGCGGCTACGGTCTCAACGAAAAGAGCCTCCAGTTTCGCCTGCGACGGGAGTCGAACCCGGGAGTGACTTAACGATTGCGGAACCGAAATGTATCGCGTCTGGTTGTGGTCACGCGTGCTGGAGAGAGGAAGAGAGGGAGGAGGGGGGAGGGGGTAGGGCAACAACGCGACGCCTCTAACCCAACTTCCGCCCCGGCAGAAGCCTCTCGCAGCGGCAATGGCACCAGAACCACACCGCTACACACTGCCGGCCAGACACAGTGTACATGGCAGAAAAAGAGAGACAGGCGCGAGACGTCAAACTGCAACCGGAAAATGGTATCCTGGAAAACGGAGGCGAAAATGCTTGGATGGAGGGCTGTATCAACCCTGAAAAAAATACAAGGAATTTTCCTCAACATCATGAAAATGACGTTAAAATACATCAAAAAGGTTCGTTAGATTAATTCACTTAAAAACAGTGGGCGCACTGATGCACTATGCGGTAAGCAAGTGCACTTGCACTTGCCCGCAGTCATGCGGTCGGTACAGTTTAAGCGAAGTACGACGCCTTTTAGGCCTTTTAGACTGCGAAACAAATGTTATTGGTGGCGGATTCCGAGATCCCCACAGGGCGCCTGGGAGGTAGGCAGGCCCGTGGCGCAAGCGCGTCCGCGGGCAGCCTACCCCGCGATCCACAGGCGCTGGCAGGAGGCCGACAGAGCAGGGGGAGAGAGAGAGGGAGGGAGAGAGGGAGAGAGAGAGAGAGAGAGAGAGGGGGGGGGGGGG